CTGAGGCAGGCAGATCACCTGAAGTCAAGAGTTTGAGACCAGCCTGACCAATATGGAGAAACCACATCTCCACTGAAAATACAACATTAGCCGGCCGTGCTGGCACATGCCTGTAATCTCAGCTACTCAGGAGGCTGAGGCAGAAGAATCGCTTGAACCTGGGAGGCGGAGGTTGTGGCAAGCTGAGATCGGGCCATTGCGCTCTGACCTGGGCAACAAGAGCAAAACTGGATCTCAAAAAAAAAAAAAAAAAAAAAAAATCAAACACAAAAGGCGGCAATACTGGGAGAATTAAGAAACAAAAAGAGACATACACAAAACAAATTAAAATATGGCTGAAGTAAATCCTTTAACAAGAGCCAATTAATATTAAATAGATTAATATTCGAATTAAAACTTTCTCCACAATTAGAAGAGGGCAAGAGATTGAGGGCCGAGATCGGCCACTCCAGCCGGGGACAGGGAGATTCTAAAAAAAAAAAAAAAAAAAAAAAAAAAAATGATCCAACGATATGCTGTCCACGAGAGACTCAGCATAAATCCAAAAATGTAAATAGGTTGAAAGTGAGAGGGATGGACAAAGATTCCATGCAAATAGTTAAGCGATAGAGAGGTAGGTGGCTATGCTAGTATCAAACAATACAGACTTTAAGTCAAAAATTTTTACAAGGCCGGGTGCGGTGGCTCAAGCCTGTAATCCCAGCACTTTGGGAGGCCGAGACGGGCGGATCACGAGGTCAGGAGATCGAGACCATCCTGGCTAACCCGGTGAAACCCCGTCTCTACTAAAAAATACAAAAAACTAGCCGGGCGAGGTGGCAGGCGCCTGTAGTCCCTCGGGAGGCTGAGGCAGGAGAATGGCGTAAACCCGGGAGGCGGAGCTTGCAGTGAGCCGAGATCCCGCCACTGCACTCCAGCCTGGGCGACAGAGCGAGACTCCGTCTCAAAAAAAAAAAAAAAAAGATATAATAATTATAAACAAAAACACACCAAATAGAGCCCCAAAAGAAGTGAAGCAAACACTACAAAATGTTGCAGGCAAAAAAAAAAAAAAAACAAAAAACAGTTCTACAATAGTGGGAGTCTTCAGTACTTCACATTCAATAATGGATGGACCATCTACACAGAAGATCAAGAAGGAAATAGGACTAGAACATTATAAACTAACAATATCTAACAAACATATCATATACACAACACTATCCCAAAACAGCAAAATACACATTTCATCATTTTTCCCAGTATGGTTAAGAATTTCCCAAATCTTCACATTTTAGTTTCTTATTGCTTAAGAATTCCTCCTTCAATTCAACTCTCTCCTTTCCTATTTTATATGTGCAATAAAGAGAACCCAAGCCACAAGTTCAATAATTAGAAATCTCTGCTACTATTTAGTTTCATTGCTTGGAAGCGCTACCTTCCACAAAACACTAGAGCGTGATTCAGCCAAGTTCCTTGCTACAATAAACTGTTCCTCATTTCTAAGACTAAACCATTATGGCCTTAAATGTCCATATTTCTACCAACATTTTGTTCATGATTGTTTCTTTAACATGAATACCGTTCATGACAGTATTCTTTAAAATGGAAGCCCTCTCTCCAGTGATTCTGAGTCCTCCCCAGAATCATTTTTACATATATATTTCTAGCATACACCCTCAGAATTCTTCCAGCCTATATGCCCACCACCCAGTTCCAAAGCTTGAACTTGCACATTTTTAGGTATTTGTTACAGCAGCACCCCACTTCTCAGTACCAACAACTGTCTTAGTTTGCTTAGGGTGCTGTAAGAAAATGCCAAAGACTGTGAGGCTTAAATACAGATACTTATTTTCTCACTGTTCTAATTAAAATAGGGATTAGCAGGTTTAATTCCTGGTAAGGGCTCTCTTGGCTTCTAAATTCCCACCTTCTCCTTGTGTCCTCATGTGGGCCTTCCTTTGTGTGTGAGCACAGGGAGAGAGATCTTTCCCTCCGCTTCTCGTAAGATCACCATTTGTATCAAATTAGAATCACATTATTACATCCTCATTGCCTTATGTCCAAATACAATCACACTGCAGGTTAAGGGATGAATTCTGGCAAGTTGGGGGCTTGGGGGGGTGGCACAGTGGGTTATATAACTCCAGAAATCTCAATCACAGACTCTCTGCCTGTCCCTGACATACATATATTAGTCTTTAATATTAGTTGCTATTAAATAGAATTAGAATTCCTTCATTGGACATAGAAAATTTAATGGTGCAGGACAGCAGAAAACAGGATGAGACTGCAATATCCTATCCTATTGAATATGAGAATAAAGCTCCTATGCAGGCTAGGGAAAAGTCACAAAGAATAAAGGGGCAAATGAAAATGGAAAGAATGGTGAAATTTTATATTTTTGAGTAAGAAACTGTAGTAAAAACCAAACAGTAATACCACAATGATAATTATATTATGGTTTGGAGTAAGTGTGAAATGCCATTAAGTTCATAACAAAGTTAAATGAAAAATGTTAATATGATAAAAATATAGCTGTAATTACAAATAAGGAAAACATAATAGGATACATTTTATTCATTAATTTATCATTTGTTAATGACTTCAAAAAGTAAAAGCCAAGACACAAGGATATTTTGTTTCTCTCACTAATTTTAATTTTAATGTCTGTATACAAGGTTTAGATATTTAGTAGTTTTAATTTGTTTAAGCTGGAAGGAAAAACACACACACAAAGAAACATAGGACAAGTTCTCCTGGAGAGCTATACCCAAAAGAGGAACATCAGCACTGATGGTAACTCAGGATAAAAAGGTCCAAGAGTAAATTAGCTGTGTTGTCACATAAATAGAATTTAGTTAGAAACAGAGCTACTACTCTATTTCAAAGATATGAAATAGCAAATATCCTGACAAAACTCTTGTTCTTACTGTGTAGGACATGAAACAACCACCAATTACATATCTTTTAAAACTACTTGAATAAGCAATACTTACATAAAACATTGCTCAATATATCAGATGAGAAAATGGCCTAATACTGGTAATCATTCAGACCTTTATAGAGTACATAAATTCTGGGAAAGACACCAGTTTCAAAAATTAAAATGTAATGAATGATGGTGACATAAATTTATCTGAAAATAGTAAAATTTTCTTATAAAAATCGAATAACTGGCCAGGCATGGTGGCTCACACTCGTAATCCCAGCACTTTGGGAGGCCAAGGCCAGCAGATCATGAGGTCAGGAGATACAGACTGTCTTGGCCAACATGGTGAAACTCTGCGTCTACTAAAATACAAACAATTAGCCAGGTGTGGTGGCACATGCCTGTAATCCCAGCTACTTGGCAGGCTGAGGCAGGAAAATTGCTTGAATCTGGGAGGTGGAGGTTCCAGTGAGCTGAGATCATGCCACTGCACTCCAGCCTGATGAGAGTAAGACTCTATCTCAAAAAAATTAAATAAATAAATCCAATAACCAGGCCGGGTGCGGTGGCTCATGCCTGTAATCCCAGCACTTTGGGAGGCTGAGGTGGGGGGGATCACCTGAGGTCAGGAGTTCGAGACCAGATTGACCAACATGGAGAAATCCCATCTCTACTAAAAATACAAAATTAGCCAGGCGTGGTGGCGCATGCCTGTAATCCCAGCTACTTGGGAGGCTGAGCAGGAGAATAGTTTGAACCCGGGAGGCAGAGGTTAAGGGAGCCAAGATCGCGCCACTGCACTCCAGCCTGGGCAACAGAACAAAACTCTGTCTCAAAAAAAATGAAAAGTAAAAAAAAAAAAAAAAAAATTCAATAACCAGTGGCTTGTGATCTCACTGACTGCATAACCAAGTCAGCTGTCCTGAGAGAGAGATGATTTTGGAGTTAAATGAGATTAGTTAAATCACAGAAGGTCTGTTGATTGTTGAAATGCCCAAACCTAATAAGGCAACTCTAGGAGAGAATAAAAATAAAAATAATGGTAATAGATTTAAAAAAATTTGAAGCTGTAGTTGTAAATCCTCTTAATGTAAGTTCAGTGGTCATTTTTTCCTCCCCTTTTAAAGGTGTTTGACAAATTTAAGAATGATAATTTAAGAGAATGATAAATTTTAACAGACTTATTGGATGAGTAATTTTATCAAATATTTAATTGTTCTCTTCATTTGGATCCTGGTTGGTACAGCCTGTGGGTAAAAAGACTGCTTAAAGGAAGTGGTTATATTCCAATATAACAGACAAACACTATATATACACACACACACACAGTATATATTATATATACATATATACTGTATATACTATATATACATATATAGTATGTGTATATATATACTGTGTGTTATATATAGTGCATGTGTGAGTATATATAGTATACATTGCACATACACTATATATACACTGTATGTATATATACACTATATATATATAGTGTGTGTGTGTGTTATGGTGGAATATAACCAGTTCCTATGTATATGTTATTTTGGGGGAACATGTTGTATCAAAATAAAATAGAAATTTAAAGAGAAGTGAACAATTTGGTGAAAATGGAAAGATCACACTTCTATCATTCAAAACAAAACAAAACAAGAACATTACACAAAATGAAGAGCAATAAGAATGTAAAACTACGTTATATCTGTCTAGGAGTTCTAACTCTCTGGAGGAAAATAAGTATAGATATCACAAGCAAAGAATTACAATGCAGAAAAGATACTGAAGTAATATTACAATTAAAAAACTGAATAGTGAAAAGAACAATAATGCAAACATCAAAGGCTATTGTAAACAAAACATGCCACGATGAGAAACTCATGGAAAAAAACTCTTTTTAACATAAAAAGGAGAAATATTTGGCAATATCTAACAAAGCTATAAGTATATATCAGCTATGACTAAGCAATTCTATGTCTACATACAGAATGGCCATGAAGTCTAAAAACAGACTTAAAAGAGGGAGATACTGAATTGCCTTGATTACCCATTAAATCCATCCATAGTTTTTTCCTGTGAAAATCGGAAATAAAAAACCACTTTATACATTTATTTCAGTCAAATGATTTCTCACCAGTGTAAATTTTCGGTTGGCACGTAAGATGCCCAACAACACTAAAGGAATTCCCACATTCCTTACATTCATAGGGTTTATCACCAGTATGAATGCGCTGATGTTTGGTAAAGGATGAACTATGTCTAAAGGCCTTCCCACATGCCTTGCATTCGTAGGGTTTTTCTCCAGTATGAATTCTCTGATGTTCTGTAAGGGCTGAACTATGTCTAAAGGCCTTCCTACATACTTTACATTCATAAGGTTTCTCACCACTATGAATTCTTTGATGTTGAATAAGGGCTGACGTAAGTCTAAAGAACTTTCCACACTCCTTACATTCATAAGGCTTTTGACCACTGTGAATTCTTTCATGTCGAGTAAGTTCACTACCTACTCCAAATGCTTTCTCACATTCTTTACATTTATAGGGTTTTTCACCAGTATGAATCCTCTGATGTCTAGTCAGGGATGAACTGTTTCTAAAGACCTTTCCACATGCTTTGCATTCATAGGGTTTCTTACCAGTATGAATTCTCTGATGACGAGCAAGTTCTCTACATACTCCAAAAGCCTTTCCACATTCCTTACATGCATAAGGTTTCTCACCAGTATGAATTCTCTGATGTTCAATGAGCTGTGAACTAATTCTAAAAACCTTCTCACAGTGCATACATTTGTAGGGCTTCTCACCAGTATGAATTCTCTGATGTTCAGTAAGCTGTGACAGAAATCTGAAGTCCTTGCCACATTCCATACATTTGTAAGTTTTCTCATCAGTATGGATTTTCTGATGTCGAGTAAGTTGGGCATGCACTCTAAAGGATTTCCCACAGAATGAACATTCGAAGTGTTTCTCACCATCATGAACTCTTTGAAGTGGAGTAACTTCTTCAACTCTTCCAAAGGTCCTTCTGTATTCCTTACATTTGTAGAACTTCTCATTGTCAATTTTCTGGTATACATTAAGGTCTTTATAAAAACTACATGTATTCCCATATTCCATATATTTACAAGGTTTCACACCAGTATGAATATTCAGTTGTAACATATTGGAGTTGTCTATCCCAAAGGTTTTCCAACATTGATTGCATGCATAGTTTTTTTCACCAGTATGTATTTTCTGATATTCAGCAAACTCTAAGTCACAACTGAAGACCTTCTCATATTCCTTGTATTCATAGGGCTTCTCACTGTCATGAGTTCTCTGAGGTAACATAAGAGATTCATGAGTTTGGTAAGTGGGCACATTTTCAGAGATGATTTTCATTTGACTGAAATATCCCACTTCAGGTCCTTGTACTTCAATCTTGCTTTTGCTTTGCCAGTCATTTCTGCAAATGGAACTTTCAAGGCCACGTAACTTGCTACTTTCCATTACCTCCCACTGAGAACCAGTGTTTTTAATAATGTCTTTTCCTACAGATAAATGCTTAGTCTCACTCCTGGACTCCAAATCTGAAAGAAAGGAAAAAATAATTTTCATGTACTACAAGAATAAAAGTTATGGAAAGAAGAGACAATTTAAGAATAATTCACCATATACATGAATTGGTTTAAAAAATGTTATGAAATTTGGAGAAAGATAAAGAGAGCTCACAGAATAACAGCAGAACATAAAGATTATGAGGAATGTGATTAAGTCAGTGGATCTGAAATTTGTGTGTTGGTCATCACCTGGTAAGCTTGTTAGTTAAACAGAATCAAAATCTGTAGATGTAGAACTAGTCATTAGCATCTTATAGAGATAATGCTAATGCAGATCAAAATTTTATAATCCATATATACTAACACTTTTGTGGTTTTCTTCCCCAAAAATAAACTTTACCAAGGATAATAACAAGGTACAGTTTGTAAGACCTCATTTTGCCCGGGCATGTGGGCTCATGCTTGTTATCCTAGCACTTTGGGAGGGCAAGGCAGGTGGGTTACCTGAACTCAGGACTTTGAGATGAGCCTGGGCAACATGGTGAAACCCTGCCTCTACTAAAATACAAACAGCCGGGCATGATGGCACACACCTGTAGTCCCAGCTACTCAGGAGGCTGAGGCACAAGAATTGGTTGAACCCAGGAAGTGGAGGCTGCAGGGAGCTGAGATCGCACCACTGCGTAGACTCTAGCCTGGGCAGTGGAGCAAGAGTCCGTCTCAAAAAAAAAAAAAACAACCTCATTTTAACTCCATTCTGCTAATCATTTTTCACCTCCTAGATCAAAACAAATATCCTATCATTTAGAGCTATCCATAGGACATTTCATTTCACATAAACGGTCTCTTTGTATGCCAGCTTCTTTTCTTTGTTAAGGTCTCAAGATACCTGCCCTCAGAAAGGGCATATTAGTTGACCCTAAATAACTTCATTTCCATTTCTAATCCCGTATCTAGTGCCTTACCCTTATATATATGTTTTTTCAGTTGTGTATTCAGTACTTTTACACCATTTACTTCCTTATTCCTTAAATTCCACAAGGACAAATATAATAAATTTTCATGTGCCAATGTACAACAAGCCCTAAGGGCATAGTATATGATACTTAATAGAGGAAAAGTAAATCACTGAATGAATCCAGATAAAAATAAAAGTATATATACAAAGATAAGTCACTAGAAAACAACTATCAAAATAATTATGTAGCTATAAGAATAATGCCAGTTATCAATGCCTCCCAACCCTCATTGTATTAGTGATTACATACATATATTTATAATACAGTAAGATACATAAATACGGTGAACATTCATATGTATTTATTTTCCAATTGCTTCTCCACTTACACATATTGTCCCACCATTATTGCTTATTCCCTCGTATGCAGAGCCATGACTGACATGTGGAATGAAGAAATACAATCAAGATGGGATGTGTTATTTACTTCTCTTCAACAGCATATTTACCTTTACTCTGCTGTCCTTCTAAAACCTACCCCTATTTTTTCTTTTATGTTCTTTTACAGATATTCCTTTCCATTTTCTTATACCAAAAGTCAACTAATGCTATACTTCCCCAAAATATAATATTTCAGATATTAAAATATCTGAATATAATTGTAACTACTGTTAGACTTACACAATTCTGAGCAAAGGCTTATGAGTGAAAAGGAGAATATGCTAACAAAATAATATGAAGAAGGTGGTCTAGGTACACAAGACTGTAAGGCACTTTGTAACAAAGGATTTTATGGACATCATCTGGAGGCGAACAATGAGAAAAGGGAATGCCTGAGGAAAACTCAGAGTGACACATGAACACAGAAAAATAATAATTTTCTGTGACTTAATTATGTATAAGATGAAATAATGCAGACATCAATATCTGACAGAAACATTAAAACCAAGTTTGAGTGCCAGTATCAATAAATCAAAAGTACTTTCAGTTAGAAATAAAGAAGCTCTCTACTAGGCTGGGTGCAGTGGCTGTCACACCTGTAATCCCAGCATTTTGGGAGCCCAAGGTGGGTGGATCACTTGAGGTCAGGAGTTCGAGAACAGCCTGGCCAACATGGCGAAACCCGTTTCTACTAAAAATACAAAAAAACTTAGCTGGGCATGGTGGCGCATGTCTGTAACGCCAGCTACTTGGCAGGCTGAGGCAGAAGAATCACTCAAACCTGGGAGATGGAGGTTGCAGTGAGCTGAGATTGCACCACCACACTCCAAGCTGGGCAACAGAGTGAGACTATGTCTTATTAAAAAAAAAAAAGAAAGAAAAGAAAAAGAAGCTCTCTGCTAAATAACTGTTGGGTCAATGTGGAAATGTAATTGAAATCACAAAGTTTGTAGTGAACCATGATGTTGAAAACATTTCTAACTGATATCTATGGAACATAAATATATTTGTCTCATAAAAAGTAAAAACTTAAATGCTTGTTTTAAAAAAAAAAAAAAAGAGTAAAAATAACCAATGTATATATCCTACTAAAGACAAAAGAACAGTGACCTAAAGAAAAGGTGAGAAATTAGCAAACAATCACAACGTGATGAAAACATACACAAAATGTTATAAGACTCCTATGCTAATAAAGCTGAAAATGTAGTCTAATGAATTAATTTCTTGGTAAAGAGATATTTAAAACCAACCCAAAAAGCAATAATAGTTGGAAAAACATTCCTGGAATGAGATAAAATTTTCTTTTTTTGTTTTTTTGAGACGGCATCTCGCTCTGTCGCCCAGGCTGGAGTGCAGTGGCCGGATCTCAGCTCATTGCAAGCTCTGACTCCCGGGTTTATGCCATTCTCCTGCCTCAGCCTCCCGAGTAGGTGGGACTACAGGCGCCCGCCACCTCGCCCAGCTAGTTTTTTTGTATTTTTTAGTAGAGACAGGGTTTCACCGCGTTAGCCAGGATGGTCTCGATCTCCTGACCTCGTGATCCGCCCATCTCGGCCTCCCAAAGTGCTGGGATTACAGGCTTGAGCCACCGTGCCCAGCCAGAGATAAAATTTTCAAACACTCACTCCATGAAACAGAACAATAACCATGCCTTATTGTCCTTGTTATTGAAATAAACCAGGTAATAAACCAGGAATCCTAGAACAAAGGCCTGGATCATGATCTAGACCCAGGGAGGTATGAGATGTACCCTGTAATGTTTTGCCAGAAAGAAGAAAGTTTTACAACAGTGGGTCACATCAAAGGGACACAAAAATAGCTTGAGGGAGCTAAAGTGCCACCATTTTGACAATACAAGAGTCAAATGAGGGGAAAAAAGTTTATGTAAAACTAATGCTAAACTAAACAAAACCAGAAAAATGCACTCATATCCAATTCAATGCCTGGGTCTGGGATAGGAAGGGTATGGAATGAGCCTTGGATAAGCTTTTGACAAAAAGTGACAATAAATTCAAAGGTTAAAGGATAAAGCCAAAGCGTACAGAAATCACCATAAGAAACATGGTATCAGTATATCAAAATTTCATCCAGGCTGGGCGCGGTGGCTCAAGCCTGTAATTCCAGCACTTTGGGAGGCCGAGACGGGCGGATCACGAGGTCAGGAGATCGAGACCATCCTGGCTAGCATGGTGAAACCCCGTCTCTACTAAAAATACAAAGAAAAAAATAGCCGGGCGACGTGGCGGGCGCCTGTAGTCCCAGCTGCTTGGGAGGCTGAGGCAGGAGAATGGCGTGGGCCCAGGAGTCGGAGCTTGCAGTGAGCTGAGATCCGGCCACTGCACTCCAGCCTGGGTGGCAGAGCGAGACTCCGTCTCAAAAAAAAAAAAAAAAAAATTTCATCCAATATTCATACTGCTGGACATCAAAAATCAGACTCTGGTGGGCTAATGTATACTGAACCAGTAACATCAATAAACATAATGAGACATAATAGAAGGTATGAAAAATTCTAGTGCACCATTTGAGGTGGCTACTTATTTACAGTAATATAAAAGATATAATAATAATAAAAACAGCCTCTTTGCCTTTCCCATTAGAATTACAAAAGTTTACCAAAGAACATGACAGCAACTAACATAAAAGGAATGACAAATTGAAACACATTGATTCCAATGAGGACTTCCAAATGCAAAAACATTAGGTGAATCACTGAAAAGGAACTGTATAAAATGCCAAATTAAGACCAGAGAGATTGGTTTCTGACCACACTGTCTGAATTAGCTCTTTCTCCATCATTCTCTACCCCTTTATTCTTACACATACTGTTATATATATTCTCTACTTGTTTATTATACATCTCAAGAACTAGTATGTCAGTTCCATGGCAGCAGGGTCTGTATTGCTCTTGTTCACTATTGTACTGATATCTGTCTCAATGTAGACACTAAATAAATATTGAGGATATGAATGAGCATTTGTTTATGGTCAATATACACATACATAAGTCTAAATACAAGAGGAACTGGAAAACAGTGGCATTGAAGAAGATCTTAATTTCCTTCTCCAAGTGCCAGGCTTTTAAAAACAAAAACAAAAACAAAAAAACAGTCTGGGCCGGGCGCGGTGGCTCATGCCTGTAATCCCAGCACTTTGGGAGGCCGAGGTGGGCGGATCATGAGGTCAGGAGATCGAGACCATCTTGGCTAACATGGTGAAACCCCGTCTCTACTAAAAATACAAAAAATTAGCTGGGCATGGTGGTGGGCACCTGTAGTCCCAGCTACTCGGGAGGCTGAGACAGGAGAATGGTGTGAACCTGGGAGACGGGACTTGCACTGAGCCGAGATTGTGCCACTGCACTCCAGCCTTGGCAACAGAGCGAAACTCTGTCTCAAAAATAAAAAATAAAAATAAAAAAATAAAAACCCACAAGCTTTTGAAGGGATTTTCCCAACAGAATCCCAGGGGCTCATCTCCTGGACCAGATGGGCTTTGTGCTTTGGCAATGACTTTCTATCCCTCAGTGGCCATCACTCACCTGGCCCTGTCTTCCTTCACATCCCATAAACTCTATAGAGCAACTTCCCTTCCTCCAATAAGGTGATCCCAATTGGATCAGAAATGGAAGACTGCTTACAACAAAGAAATGTAACAATGTATTTTTTAAAATTATAACCAATTTTTAAAATACAGCTTTGAGAATTGGTTAAAGTTTTACTAAATAAAATCAAAATTATTATTATTTTTCTTTTTTTTGAGACGGAGTCTCGCTCTGTCGCCCAGGCTGGAGTGCAGTGGCCGGATCTCAGCTCACTGCAAGCTCCACCTCCTGGGTTCACGCCATTCTCCTGCCTCAGCCTCCCGAGTAGCTGGGACTACAGGCACCCGCCACCTCGCCCGGCTAATTTTTTGTATTTTTTAGTAGAGACGGGGTTTCACCGTGTTAGCCAGGATGGTCTCGATCTCCTGACCTCGTGATCTGCCCATCTCGGCCTCCCAAAGTGCTGGGATTACAGGGTTGAGCCACCGCGCCCGGCCCTAAAATCAAAATTATATGAAAAAGACAGAAAAAAGAATTGTGAGGGAACTGGAAAAACATTCACCTTTGAGTAACCACAGAATTATCACGTATAAAGAGACTAGACAGGTAAGGAAAGGTCTTATGTTATTTAAACCCATACTAATTCTTTGTCTGGAGAAGCAGTGTAACAGTTAAAAATACTGTCTTTGGTGCCAGATTGCCTGGGTAGAAAGCCTTCCTCTGTAATTACGTGGCTGTGGAGCCTTTGCAGAAGTGCCTAAATACTCTCTGTTGTAAGCAACCTCTTCTGTACAACAATAATAGAAACAGCACTTATGTCACAGAGTTATTGTAAGAATTAAACGAGTCATTTTTTTTTTGAGATGGAGTCTTGCCCTGTTGCCCAGGCTGGAGTGCAGTGGCGCGATTTCAGCTCACTGCAACCTCCACCTCCCGAGTTCAAGCAGGTTCAAGCAATTCTCCTGCCTCAGCCACCTGAGTAGCTGGGACTACAGGCACACGCCACCATGCCCGGCTAATTTTTTTCTATTTTAGTAGAGACGGGCTTTCACTGTGTTGCCCAGGCTGGTCGTGAACTCCCGAGCTCAGGCAATCTGCCCGCCTCAGCCTCCCAAAGTGCTGGGATTACAGGCATGAGCTACCATGACTAGCCACGAGCCAATTATTTAAAGTGCTTAGGACGGGGCCAACTAGAAGGCAAGAACTATGGAAGCTGAGAGGAAAGTAAGTAACTTTCAGAGCTATTAAAAGGTCCTTGGTGGAATACTAATTTAATGTTAAATGCAACGTTCTTTAGCCATAAAGCAGGTGGGAGGAAATGAATATGAACTGTTTATCAATCCTTCAATATATAAATTGTAGAGATTCTTTTAACAATCATAACAAATCAGGACACACGGTATCTTAAAAGTTCTCCCAGAAGGTGGGTAAGAATATAAAGTATTTATAGCAATTCCGACCTCAAACACAATGTACGGGTTGCACATCCCTAATCTAAAATCTGAAATTCAATTACAAAATCCAAAACTTTCTGAGCACTGACATGATGCCACAAGTGAAATATACATAACTACTTAACACAAACTTGGTTTCATGCACAAAACTATTAAAAACATGGTATAAAATTGCCTTCAGGCAACTTTATATGTGTATAAAGTGTACATGAAACATAAATGAATTTTGTGTTTCAATTTGGGTTCCATCCCTAAGATGTCTCATTATGTATATGCAGATATTCCAAAATCTGAAAAAAATCCCAAATCCAAAACACTCTCATCCCAAGTATTTTGGATAAGGGATACGCAACCTGTAATGTCTCAATGATATGCTGTACGTGTTCCATAAGTCAAATCCAGCTCCTTGGTATCTAGGAAGGTAGAAATTATATGCAGGGCCTGAGAAGGTAAGAATATCATGAAGAATGTTAAAGACTGATAGAGATGTCATTTGCAACACAACAACACTGAAAGCATGCCTTTGGAATCAGAAGTTCACCTAGTTTCTTAAAACATAGCCTTGAGGCCGTCGCAGTGGCTCATGCCTGTAATCCCAGCACTTTGGGAGGCTGAGGCAGGCGAATCACGAGGTCAGGAGTTCAAGACCAGCCTGGCCAGTGTGGTGAAACCCTGTCTCTACTAAAAATACAAAAAATTAGCTGGGTGTAGTGGCGGACGCCTGTAATCCCAGCTACTCAGGAGGCTGAGGCAGGAGAACTGCTTGAACCTGGGAGGCAGAGGTTGCAGTGAGCCAAGATCATGCCACTGCATTCCAGCCTGGGTAACAAAGTGAGACTCCATCTCAAAAACAAAAGAAAACAAAATGAAAAACAAAATACAGCCTTGAGATCACTGAATATCAGCTGATAGTCTAGAGCGTATATTCTAAGTTATTGGAGGCAGACAAATTTACCCAGTGAGAGTAAGTTGCTGTAGTTCTCCATCATCACATCCCAGTACAAGTTCCTCTGAGCAGAATCCAGATATTCCCATTCCTCCTGAGAGAAGTTGATGACCACATCCCTGAGTGTCACCAGTTCCTGAAACAACAAACCCGTACATTACAGGTAAAATTTAAGGAAATATTTTTGAGAAAAAGGCAAGATGAATTGCCTTATTGCAAGGGGACTGGACAGTAAACAAGGAGGCCAGGAGAAGACTGTGACACGGGAAGTAAGGAAATTAGTGCTTCCAAACCAGACTATCATCTTTAAAGACTCCCTTTGATCCACTGAAATCTTTCTGCATACTTATGGGATCTCTTATTTAGCCAACCATGTCTGGAAATTAATAACCAGTTTACAAATTAAAAGAAGTACTATATACAAGCACATTTCATGCTATGTGCCTGCCTCATGAATCATCAATAAATGTAAGTTTCTATACCCTCATTCCCCTGTACAGGAGAAAAAGATCTAACTTTGAAAATGGGGTGTGAACAAAATTAAAGATTAGATGGGCGGATCACGAGGTCAGGAGATCGAGACCATCCTGGCTAACACGGTGAAACCCCGTCTCTACTAAGAAATACAAAAAAAAAAAAATAGCCGGGCGAGGTGGCAGCGCCTGTAGTCCCAGCTACTCGGGAGGCTGAGGCCGGAGAATGGCGTGAACCCGGGAGGCGGAGCTTGCAGTGAGCTGAGATCCGGCCACTGTACTCCAGCCTGGGCTACAGAGCGAGACTCCGTCTCAAAAAAAAAAAAAAAAAAAAAAAAAAAAGATTTCTTGTAGCTCCAAGTTCATTACTATGTGACATATTATGTCACATTATATAATACAATTTATTACTTCTAGCAACAAAGTTTTTAGTAAGTGTTTTTTAGTGGCTACAGAGTAGTTTTCTTGCTAAAAATTTAACAGCCTTAATTATACTCCAATGTTTAGGTTAGACAAGGTCTTCTCCAATTCTGCACCTACAATCATCATCATTTTATATGACCTGAGGCCATTCAACATCAAATCCAATCTACCTGGAAACTCAAGTCTGTGGAGAAGGTCAGAGTATGCCCAATTGTCAAACAGATCCATCTGCTTTTTCCCTATTCCAGATATGACAAGGAAAAGTACAGGGATTCCACTTCTGCTTTATATCTGCTCTTGACAAAGGACTGAACACACAGGAGTGTTGAACATTCTTTGGAGAATAGAGAGGCACATAGGAGGGACACTATGCTGTTAGACTCCAGCCCTTACTAGAAAGTGAAAAAGTATGGGGTTGTGGTGCAGGTTCTTTGACAGAGGTGTGTGGTAGGAAGAATCAGAAAAAAGAAATATCACAAAGAAAAGAGAAATAGTAACTTACATGGTCCATGGTTAGAACTGTAAAGAATTGGTCAGGGAATTCCACTTCTGGCATGACAGCATGAGGAGCTCCATGGACACGATCCCCAATGAAACTGTAAAAATTATTTTTTAAAAAAGAACCACAATTTAAAGTCTCTGGAAATGGTGCTAGGAATGTACAGCAAATGAAGAAACATTAGTTTACGAAAATCTCCAAAAACATGTTAAGAACTCTGAGAGTCTGGACTATGTGAACCAAACCTGAGCCCTCCATTGTCCATTCTGTCTCGGTGAGAAAGACTCCACTCCAGCTAGGATAGCCAAGGGCATGGGGCTTCTTCGCCACTTCTCAACCTTTGCCCCAGTTGGATAGCTATCTTCCTAGGTGGGGTAAGACATCATCACTTTTCACTCTGCCCCAGTTACCTACCTGTTACACAGCTGAAGAATGAAGACTCCCTTCCTCTGCCTCGCCCCAAAACATGAAATGTAGGCTTTAACTTGGACGTGGTACTGCTGAGCATACTGAGGTTCCAATTGCTGTGCCCTGGCTCCTGGGGCAGGTGTTCCATGCCCAAACAGGCAAGCCAGGGGACCTGGCTGCCGCCCCATCTGCCATCTACCAAGCACTCAGCTCCTAAAGCAGGGGAATCACTTAGAGAGATGCATGCCATTGTCCATACCTCCAGCACTAGAACAGTGGCTGTGGCTCTGAGATTTTGTCCAGGGGGAGAAGTAGGCCATAGAACAGAGTTCTGTATTGCTCCTCAAAGGAACTGAATTGACTTGCAACAGAATGTGGAGAAATTTAAACCTAAGGGCAATGTCAAAAACTGAAAATTTTGGTGAAGGGCAATTGGGAGGAGGTTGATAGATTAGAGGTGTATGTTATACTATAGGGTGGTTTGTTTGCCAGACAGAAACTAAGAGACCACCTGGGAAGAGACATTCTATTGTCAGAACAAATCTCAAACACTGACCTCAAGAAAGCAAGCCCCAGTTTGATTATATTAGCCTGTGAAGCAACATATACTCCAGGGCACTTACGAAAGCAATACTGCCATTAAGTTGCAATCGGTGGTGCTAACAGCTGGGGGTGGTCAGGGAGATGCTCAAAGACAGCCCTGTCAAAACCACTATCATCTAATGCTGTCTGTAAAAGTAGGCAAGGCTGTACTCCAATGAGCAACATCAGGGATTTTACACCATGGTGAGAACAGACTTCACTAAAACAATCCAGAGTCCATTCTCATGCTGCTATAAGGATACACCCAAGACTAGGTAATTTACAAAGGAAAGAGGCTTAATTGACTCACAGTTCTGTATGGCTGGGGAGGCCTCAGGAAACTTACAATCATGGCAGAAGGCACCTCTTCACAGGGTGGTAGGAGAGAGAATGAGAGCCGAGCTAAGGGGGAAGCCCCTTATAAAACCATCCGATCTTATGAGAACTCACTCACTATTAGAAGAACAGTATGGGGGAAACCACTCCCATGATTCAATCATTTCCTCTTGGTCCTGCTCTTGACATGTGGGGATTATTACAATTCAAGATGAGTTTCGGATGGAGATACAGAGCCAAACCATCTCACTGTCACTAAGCAAGTACCAATGACAAGCCCTGAGGCAGAGGGTGTGGACAAAAGTACTGGAGTTCCAACAACTGTCTATAAAATCCACTTTCCACAAACAAGAGACAGGCAAAGAAACAGGAAAGTATGATTCACACACTGGAAAAGAAACCCACAACAGAAACTGCTTGTGAAAGCAACCAGATTTAACAGGCAAAGACTTCAAATTATAAACAGGTAAAGACTTCAAATTATACATTATAATATATATTCAAATAGACAAAGGAAACCATAAAGAAGTAAATGTAGGTATGATCATAATGTTGCATCAAAAGGAGAATATCAACAAAGAGATACAAATTATCAATAATAAACATGGAAATTCTGAAGTTACAAAGTATAATAACTGAAATGAAATTTTCACTAGAGGACTCAATAGTAGATATGAACTGGCAGAAGTATTAGCAAAGTTGAAGATAGATTAATAGCAATGGTGTAATCTGATGAACAGAGAGAAAACGAGACAAATTAACATCTCAGAGAAATGTGGGACCCCATTAAGCACACTGCTATAAACAGGAGTACCAGAAGAGAGATGAGAGAGAAAAAAAGCATTTAAAATTTACAAAGAAATAATGAATTTAAAATTCCCAAATTTATTGAAAAACATTAAACTGCACATCCAGGAAGCTCAACAAACACCAAGCAGGATAAATGCATAGAGATCCAAACATAGATGCATCATTATAAAAGCACTGAAATCCAAAGAAAGAAATGGAGAAAATCTTGAAAGCAGTAAAAGGAAACTGCAGGCTAGAAGTGAAACTAATACAGAAGTATTAACTGCTGATTTCTCATCAGAAAAAAATGAAAGCCAGAAGGCAGTGGGATGACATATACAAAGTACTCACATACACAAAATCCTTCAACCCAGAATCCTAAATCCATCAACATGCAAAAAAATGAAGTGACCCCCCACCTCACACCACTTATAAAAATTAACTCAAAATGGATTAAAGACTTAAATATAAGGCCTGAAACTCTAAAAATCCCAGAAGAAAACATAGTGAAGCTCTTGACATTGGTCTTGCAATGATTTTTAAAAATATAACACCAAAAGCACCTGAAACAAAAGCAAAAACAAAGAAATCAAATCAAATTAAAAAGCTTCTATAAAATAAAGGAAACAATTTAAAAAGTGAAATGACATTCTACAGAGTGGGAGAAAATATGTGCAAATTATATATCTGACAAGGGGTTAATATCTAAATATATAAGAAATTCATTCAACTCAATAGCAAAAAAAAAAAAAAAAAAAAAAAAAAAATCCAACTAAAAAATGAGCAAAGAACCTGATAGACATTTTTCCAAAGAAGATATACAAATGGTCAACGGGTATATAAAAAGGTGCTCAATATCACTAAACATCAGGGAAATGCAAATCAAACCGCAATGAAATATCACCTCACACCTAACAGGACTGCTATTATCAAAAAGACAAGAAAGAAAAAAAATGTTGATAAGGATATGGAAAAAAGGGAAGCCTTGTACACTGTTGGGGATGTAAATTGGTATGATCCTTCTGAAAAAGAGTATGGAGGTTCCTCAAAAACTTAAAAACAGAACATTCATACAATCCAGCAATCCTGCTTCTGGCTATACGGCCAAAAGAAATGAAGTCAGTAACTTTTTTCCACCTGCACCGAGACGGAGTCTTGTTCTTTCGCCCACGGTGGAGTGCAGTGCTGCAATCTCGGTTCATTGCAACCTCTGCCTCCAGGGTTCTAGCAATTCTCCTGTCTCAGCCTCCCGAGTGGCTGGGATTACAGGTGTGTGGCACCATGCCCGGCTAAATTTTGTATTTTTAGTAGAGATGGGGTTTCACCATATTGGCCAGGCTGGTCTCGAACTCCTGAGCTCATGATCCACCCACCTTGGCCTCCCAAAGTGCTGGAATTACAGGCGTGAGCTACCACGCATGGCCAAAGTCAGTAACTTGAAGAGATATTTGCAGTCCTTGTTCATGGCAGCATTATTCACAATAACCAAGGTATGAAAACCTAAGTGTCCCTCAATGGGTGGACAGATAAAGTGTGCTTGTATGTGTGTGTATATACATAAGTATGTGTCAATTATGTATCAGTAAAACAAAGGGGGGTGGTTATCCTTATGCAGCAAACCTATATTTCAAAACTTAAGACCATTTCAAAACTTAAGATGAAAAGACATTTCCAGATAAAAACTGAATTTACTGCTAGCTGACTGACCTTAAAAAGTACTCAAGGAAGCTCTTTAGGCTGGTGATCCCAGGTAGTAATAAAAATCCATATGAAAAAACAAAGAGAAGAGGCCGGGCGTGGTGGCTCACACCTATAATCTCAGCACTTTGAGAGGCTGAGGTGGGAAGATCACCTGAGGTTGCGAGTTCGAGACCAGCCTGATCAACATGGAAAAACCTGGTCTCTACTAAAAATACAAAATTAGCCAGGTGTGGTGACACATGCCTGTAATCTCATTTACTTGGGAGGCTGAGGCAGAAGAATCACTTGAACCCAGGAGGCAGAGGTTGAGCCGAGATGGCGCCAAGGCACTCCAGCCTGGGCGACAAGAGCGAAACTCTGTCTCAAAAAAAAAAAAGAGAAGCAAGGCAATTTTATGTAATTGTAAATGACAGTATACATATATATCTCTTCTCCTCTTAACTGATAGACACATTTTATGAAACAATGTGTATATTATGTATTATCGGGCCCATAACATACAGAAATGTAATATATTTGCTAATAATAACACAAAGAAGGCAGGGGAAAGCAAAGTTGTACTGGGCTAAGGAAATGAATCCAGATGGTAACTCCAATCCGGATTATCTGGACCTCATGAGGAGAACCCAAAGTGAGAAATCAGACTGACAAAATAAAAGTTATAAATGTATAAAAGTTCTCCTCATTTTTTTAAAACATAGATTTATTTAATGTAAAAATTACAACGATTGGTTGAGTTCGAAACATCTGTAGATGTAATGTGAAGACCTATATTACTACAAGAGAAGATAAAAGGAAATAAGAGTTATATAGGAGTAACATTTCTCTATCTCACTTGAATTAAGCCAATATAAATCAGAAGCTGTTTCTGAAGTAAGATATTTGCCAGAATAAATCTCTAAGCAGCAAAGTGTTCACAGTGCTGCTCGGTTTCTCTTAACTAGAGTAAAATGTGAGAAGAAACAATACAAAGATGGGATTTATAACATGGAAGCAAAACATAGAGATTTAAAAATTCTCAGCCTGAGCATGTAAATCAAAAGACATTTAGGAAAGTAAACCAAGGGTGTGACCAAGTGACTTTTTGGTAAGAGTGTGGCTAGAAAGAAGCCAGATGCTTTTCATCATGACAACAGGAGAATGAATCCAATGGCACTTCAGAGAGCTTCAAGGCTGCTCCTCCCATCACAGGCCCAGCGTGCCAGGGCCTTGAAGGCAGGATGGTTTCAAGGGAAGGGTCTAGAGCACTCATGGGGCTTGCTGCCCGGGGCTGCCTCAAGTCTCTGCCCCTCCCATCCTAGCACAGTGCTCCTTGGCTGCCCTAGTTGTGGCTCCAGTGGGCCCAGGTGCAGTTTAGTCCCGGCTCTGGAGGGCAAAGTGGTGAACCTCAGCATCTACATGCTGCTGATTTTGCAAGTGTGCAGAGTGCACAAGATGTAGAAGCACGGCATCCTTCAAAGAGATTTTTCTTTTTTGAGACAGAGTCTCACTCTGTCGACCAAGCTGGAGTGCAGTGGTGCGATCTAGGCTCACTGCAACCTCCACCTTCTGGGCTCAAGCAATTCTCTTGCCTCAGCCTCCTGAATAGCTGGGATTACAGGTGTGCCATGCCTTGGAGAACCCCAGGGCCTAGACAGAGACCCACTACAGACTCAGAGCCACTGCAGACAGTCCCCCCTACGGCAATGTCCAGTGGAGTCATAAAGGCTGTGCCATTCCCCAAACCCTAGACCTGTAGAGCCAGCAGAATGCAACATGGGCCTGGGAGAGCCAGTGGCACCTGACTCCAACCCAAGAGAGCTGCAGTATGAACTGTGAACACCAAAGCCCTGGTGGCAGGGTCCCTTTGGGCCTTTGGGGTCCAACCTCCATCCCAGTGTGTCTGGAACATGCGACGAGGAGTCAAAGATGATTATTCTCCACGCTTAAGGTTTACTGTTATTTGCCCTGTTCAGTTTTGGACCTACTTGGGACCAGTGACCCATACTTTCTTATCTGTTTTGAAATAGAAATGCTTGTCCTGGCTGGGCGTGGTGGCTCACGCCTGTAATCCCAGCACTCTGGGAGGCCAAGACAGGCGATCACCTGAGGTCAGGAGTTCAAGACCAGCCTGACCAACATGGAGAAACCCCGTCTCTACTAAAAATACAAAAAAAATTAGCCGGGAATGGTTTACGCATGCCTGTAATCCCAGCTACTTGGGAGGCTGAGGTAGGAGAATTGCTTGAACCCGGGAGGTGGAGGTGGTGGTGAGCCAAGACTGCACCACTACACTCCAGCCTGGGCAAAAAGAGTGAAACTCTTGTCTCAAAAAAAAGGGGAAAAAAAGAAATGCCTGTCTTATGCATCACTGAATTTTGGAAGCACGTAACTAGTTTGGTGTCACAGGTACGCAACTAGAGAGCAATTTGCCTCAGGATGAATCATCACATGATTTAGATATCAAGATGAGACTCTGCCCTTTAA